AAGGCAGTTCTCAAAATGTTCCCCCACCCGACTCCCGCCAGCTCACCAGTCTCCGTCATCTCCGTGCTCGGTCTGTCGGCAGCGGATTTGATCGTCCAAGGATGGAGGTCACAAGCTCTCTGTCTGTCTCATCTTGGTTGCTGTTGTTAATTATTGGCCTGCTGACAATCTGTCTCTTAAAATCTCTCTTACCAAAACGGAGTATTGACATACGAGGAAAATACGTTCTAATTACGGGCTGCGACTCTGGTTTTGGTCGCGCAACAGCCATTCGTTTGGACGAGATGGGAGTTCGTGTGTTGGCGACTTGTCTTACAAGCGATGGTGAAAAGGGTTTGAAATCGGTGACAAGCGATAGGCTGAAAACATTTCAGATGGATGTGACAAACTCGCAGCAAATTAAGGAAGTGTTTGAAGAAGTTAAGAAAGAAGTTGCCTGTGGTAGGTCACTAGGTTATGCCCTCTGCCCCTACTTTGTAGATCGCATAATCTTTCCTGGAAGATTTGTCCCTTAAACAATTTTTGAAAGGAAATACTCCTTTGAGTATCGTCACATGGTGTAACAAAAGCAAGTGGCTTGTTGTGGATCCACAGGCCGCTCAGACTCTATGTGTTCGTTGGAATTTTTGAACACGGGCCCGTAGCAAGCATAAAATGACTGGGGGGGCTGAGCGAGTGGCCCACATTAACTCCCCCCCCTGCTTCGGTCACTCGGTTAAAGCATACTTTTTGGTACATGTCAGATCGCTACATTTGTCTACAATACCTTCCGGGTTGTTCTTTGATTCGGATTGTTTCTTCGATCACACCAGGCTCTGTTTCACTAGTGCATGGTTTTACCCACAATAAAAGTGTTCCCTGCTCATTTTTCGACTTGTTTGGATTTCTTTTTCGGCGGCTCTTGCGAAGACATTGTAAGACTTTTAATATTAATGCGCAAAAACTCAAGTTTTACTCCAGTACAGTAGTATATTTTACATTGGCGGACCTCTAAGGGAACCAATCAAGGTGAAGAGGTCAAGTTCAGGGATTGTCTTTGGTGCATTTTGATCCATAGTATTTTTGCTTCTGACTATTTTGATGCTTAATAAGCAGATATTTTAAAGCTGTTGGTTGTTTTTGGCAGAGCAAAAATATGATTTTGTTCATTTACACAATTCCAAATTGCACAGAAGAACAACAGTACATAATCTTACTATGATCGACAGTACTTTGAAACTTAAGCTTCCATTGACAGCTGTCCATTCTAGTAGAAAAATTCCACTTTTGTAGCAGAATTTAATTCAAGTCTGAAAATTTCTGGGGAGGGCTCGAGCCCCCCCTGCACCTCCCCCTGCTACGGGCCTAGAACAGTTGGGGCTGGAAAGGGGGGGGGGGGGGCGGTTCAGAGTTAAATTGACAGGTCATTTACTTAAATAAATAAAAAAAAAGTTAATGGTATTTCCTTAAATAGGCCACTGCAAAAAATACCATAATATTCTCAAATTGAAAATTAAGAGTATAGTAGAGGCTCTTGTAAGCAACCACCTAGGAAACTGGAAAAAGTGGTTTTAACTAGAGCTGGTTGCTTAAGAGAATGAGCTCTCATAATGGACTGCATGGTAAAACAACAGAGGGTGGTGGCTTACGAGAGTTTCAGGAACTCATTAATAATTCATTAAAAAAAACAAAAGAAATACTGAGTGGTTTCTTATGAGAGCTTAAAAACAAAGGAATATTTGAGTTCAGTTGGGTAATCCCAAAACTGGTCTCGGTCACTTATGGGAGCAGTCACTTATGAGAGCTTTTCATAACAAAGTTTAAGTTGCAGCTCAAACGAGGTTTCACAAAGGTGGTCATTACTAGAGCTCGTTGCTTTTAAGAGCAGTTGCAAGGAGAGCCTCGACTGTATTATATATATGGTGGCCTACAGTAAACTGAAAATTATGTTACGAAATGGTCAATAACATATTGAAATCACATCATAAGTGCAATCAAGATGATCCAAGTATGGACATCATTTCTCTCAGAATTTGTTGGGATGGTGGTAAAAAGCACAGAGTTTAGCCATGTTCTTTTTCTGTAGGATATATAAAAATATGAAAATTTTCTGTCACAAATTGAGCTTTTGGCCAGTGTACTAGCATGTACTAGTATGTAGTGTTTGCTCTTTTTAGATTTGGCAAATAAAAAATCTACTTCTTCTGACTTGCTAATACTTATCTGCTGGAGAGTGAGTTATCCAGTGGATAGTGCTAACCAGTGTTACAACAACTGGAGGAGAGTGTTATCCGTTAAGGCCGTAGGCTGAGGCGGATAACACCCTCCTTGATCTCCATAATTCTTCATAAGATACTCAGCCTCATTCATTAACTGTTAATTAATTGATCAACAACCACATGTAAATAATGACGTTTCATTTTGGTTTCAGCTGGAATTTGGGGGCTGGTGAATAATGCTGGAATTTTATATTTATCCCCAATTGAATGGACACCTCTTGATGTCTTCATACGAAGTGCAGATGTTAATTTATGGGGGATGATTGATGTCACAAAAGCCTTTCTGCCACTGATCAAGAAATCCAAAGGAAGAGTAGTGAATCTTTCAAGCGCGGCAGGTTAAGTTTCCTTGCTAGTTGAATTATATAGTTGGGGTTCCCCTTTTTTTTCTTTTTTTCTGTCTGGGGGTACATTAATGTATGACATGACTTTAAAACAAAGAAAAATAAAAGCCATGTGGGAACAGTTTCTAAAAGCTAAAATCAAAAAAAGGTTTATAAAAAAAAAAAAAAAAAAAACGCTCTAAGTTGATTCCGCATTTTATCAATCAATTCTAAATGTAGAGTTTAGGATTCCTAATCAATCTGTTCCTTTGGCTTTGGGTATACCAAGAGTATTCTTTGGCTATGGGTATATTCTGGGTATACACGGGGTTTACTTTGGGTATACCCTGGGTTTACTTTAGGTATTTTCTGGGTATACTTGGGGATTACTTTGTATGTATACTATGAGTATACTATACTCAGGGTATACTTGGAGTATACCAAGGGTATACTCGGGGTATGCTATTGGTATTCTCTGGGTAATATTCTAGGTATATCCTGGGTATACTCTGGATATACTGTGGATATACCCTGGTTATACTATGTATTTCTACCACTGTGCATGTATTCCGTGCCTGCAATGTAGCCATGTGTTTTTGAAACCTGATTCCCTGTAAGTTTGTCATTTTGGAACTTACAACAGTCAGTACGTTTTTTTGTATTATTTTCGGATGTTTACTTTCGAACTTTTGAATGCTGAACTCTTTCTTATATAATTATTGGCTTACATTTTGGTTTTAGAAAACCTAACTCATGCATATGATATGGTAGTGAATTCATTTGGACCTACTTGAACTTCAATGTATTTTGGACTTGACACAGTCATTTGGATCTGGATCTATTCAAAATGTGGAATGAGTGTTTTCTCTGGGTATACTCGGGGTATACTATGGGTATGTTCTTAGTATATTCTGGGTATTCTATGGGTATACTGTGGGTATACTATGGGTATACTCTGAGTATACTCTGGGTATACTTTGGAGAAGAAGGTTTCTGATGAAGGCGAAGAGGGGACATGGAATGTTTCAATCTCTTATCCCCTTATCATTGCAGGACTTATTTCTCCTGGTTTTTATGGATCTTACTCTGTGACCAAATATGGAGTGGAGGCTTTTTCGGATGCCCTGAGACGTGAAATGTATCCCTGGGGAATAAACGTTAGCATGCTAGAACCTGGATCCCATACAACTAATATCTGCGCTCCTGATATGTTTGAGCAACAACTGAAAAAAGGATGGAACCAACTGAGTGATGTGGTTAAAGATGAGTATGGGGAAGAATACCTAAGAACAGGTGAGTTTGATGATAAACTAGCCTCTTATGCAGAAGATAGCTCTTTGGACAGCATGTTGATGGCCGGGTGAAAATTGTAAAAAAGTGCTTGCTTATTATGGAAGCTGCTGTGGAAATTTTTTCTAGCCCAGCCAATTCCCTACTTAGTCTCAGGAAATGTTGCTTGCCTGTTGTATGTTACTTATTATCAAAGCATGCTAGCCTGATAGACTGTTTCTCTCGCCCTTGTTTATTGGATGACTCTTTTGTTATGCTGTGATGGCTATCATACAAAATGGGGAGGATTCTATGAGCAAGCCAAAAGAATGTTTGCATCTATAAAAGGGAAAGTACTAGGTAAATCATGCAGTAAGGTGTATATTATTGTTAAAATTTGTACTGACTGGTTACTGTCTCTCACTTACAATCTTGGACAGAATAAAAAGGATTGTCCAAGATTGTAGTTGAAAAAATTGGTCATATACACTGAGGATACGCCCAGCAGATTCTTGGAAACTGCTAACCTGCCCTTCCCCTGTTGTGACATTTTGCCTTATGGGAGACATTATTGTTAACATTGGGTTGGGGGAAGGGTAGGTGGGTAGTTTCCCAGAATCTTATACTGACCAACCCTGCATGTGTTGGACTAATGCATCCTCTCCACAGGGAGTGGTTGTCCTCCTAAGTAATTTGTGCTACTGAATTAACATTAGCTGTTCCTATAATGTGCTTGAGCTTCCTTAGCTCAAGATATTCTTTACCTATCTTAGTTACGTAATTATCATTATTTTAAAGGAGCTGTGTCACGAAATTCAGCCAAATTAGGAAATTTCAACATGCCGGTTAAATTAAGAGAAACGTAAAAATAACCGCTTAAAACTTTAAAGGAAGGCTAAAATAACATAACAGAAACCAGGGGCACCCAACGACGGTTTCCTCCTAAACGCATTGAAAAGTCTTTTTATGCTATCCAGAGTACTTTTAGATCTCTAGAAATGTATTCTAAGCAGCGCTATAAAATTTGCATCTATTCGGTCATCCTAGGAGAGCTTTAGGCTTTTCGAAACTACGAGGGCTTCAGTGTTATTTTTCCGAAAATTTTAGATGCAGTTGAACGTTTTACGAAAGTGAGAATTTTTCTTGTTCTTCTTTCCATCTCATTTTTGAATCCAAAAATTTTAGGTTTCCTTTTTCTACGAAAATTAGCTAAACATAAGGAGTAAAAAATTAAAAATTACACTTCAGAAAATGGTAGGGAATTTTTTAGATAAGCTTCGAAAATTATACCTGAATGGAACGCTCTTCTAGAAATTTTTGGCCGTATTCAAGCAATAGAATGTTCTAAGCAATATTTGCATCTCCAAACAGATATTTTACAGAAAACAGTTGCTCGGTGCCCCTGAGAAACAACAGATGCCACAGATGGGCAAAACTGAAGAAGACTGAAACGGATTGAAATTGGGGTTTTGGAAACTGTTCAGCCTAACAGTTTTTCAAAGTTGATCCCTGCTGCTTGCAACTTCAAAAATAATGGTCAGGAAACATATTTGTTTGTCTCGGATCTCTGATTTTGTCATTTACATGTAATTTCTTTGCTTACTTTAAGTTCCATAGCGATTGAGGGCAAGTAATTGGCAAAATTAAACAAAATAAACTGGACTGCCGTGACACAGCCCCTTTAAATAATGAGAGGGTGCCTGGAATAAAACCCTAACTGCCTGCACTTGTAATTCGAACTTCCAATTTGCTGTGCATATGATTGTGAATAGAAGGGAGATTTTGGTATTAGATCAAGGGGCTTACTCCACACACCTCTTTGGCTGACATTACAAGGTCTGCAAATCAATGGAAAAATTTCCAGGGTCTGTATTAAGTCCCCCGTCTTATGCAGAGCTCAAGTAGATTCTTTGCATTTCAGTTTTTGAATTTCGATGACTTCTTGTATTCAAGTGAGCATAAATTTACACATCTTCTTTTTACTTTTTCCTGTGTAGGGATTGACATTGTGAAGAATATATATCGTTCTTCAAATATCAGCCAAGTTGTTAATGCTATGGTAGATGCGCTGACATCAGATCCTCCACTTGACCGTTACATAGTTGGTATAGATGCACGTGGTCTCCAATTATTGTCATATCTACCAACATCTGTTGCTGACTTTCTCTTCCATTTAATACTGGCAAGAAAACTTGCTCCACCAAAAGGACCTCTGAAATAACTGATTATTTATGATTGTAGGGACTTTAAACAACGACAACAGCAACTCCAATACGTTATACCGGGAAAAAGACTGGGCAGATAACGTGGTTCAGTCTTGCAGAATTTTTTCTCCCACGCGGTTTAATCTCTATATTTTTATCCCCCAAAAATACTCAAAAGTACTCTTACTTTCCCTAGATTCTACTTGATGCTAAATTTACAAAATGTTTGCAAAAATGCGAAGGAAAATTAAAGTTTGGTACTCACCTTTTGTCACAACAGCAAAATACCAATTCTCATGTTGCAACATGACAGTAACGGCAGGTGTTTTTCCTGCCAGATATGCACATTTGGTGGTTTGGGTTTACCCTGCGGACTTTTACCTTGTCACTGTTCACATTGTCACTGCTTAAAGCCCCTAGAGCTGTATGACTGCACCTTAAATTACATTTTTCCAAAAAATGTATTTATTCATTACAATAGCTATTGTTTTCTTAATAATATTATAATTCTTATTAAAACTAAGAGGTATGTTTTATAACAGGGATAAAATTTTACAAGTTTTCAAACACACAAAGTGTTCTACAGGTAAGCACTAAATATGTTTACATACTCAGTAAAAATGCACAAGAGAATAGGCTAATAAAAAATACCACAAAAGTTGAAAGAACATTATTAGTAACTTTTTGGACTAATTATATACCCATTTACAGTTAATGCAAAAAAGTACAAAAATTAAAAAAGTTTCATGTACATAGCAATAATTTAATAGTTCACAATGCAATTTGTATTAAATCGATAATGATGGAGATTAAGCAGATGTACATGCTATCATTGCTTCACTAAAAAAGTTCTTTCAAGGTCTCATGCAATGTAAGACTACAAATATTCACAACATTTACAGTAACATAATTTTTTAATGAAGATGTTCAACTTGTAGAAAAAAATTAGGTGGACATTATACTTTTGCTGCTGTCATACAGGGCTGAGTTGCTCAAAGCATGGTTAGCTTTAACCATTGGTTAAGCAGTATCAAAACCAATACGTTGGTATTAAACGCTGGTTAACGCTAACCATGCTTCAAGCAATTGGGCCCAGGTTGCTACTGACTTTCAGGAACTTTGGTACATGCCAGTATTCTCAGGAATTATCCTTATTCTCAATTATTTATTACTAGGTTAAAATTATTCTGTTTTGGTTAAAACTGTCAGATTTGAAAAATTGGGCCTAACATCTGATAGTAATAATATTGTCCTAGTAAAGGGAATCCAAAATATCACAAAACATACTACAACATGGTAATTATTATGTAGTAAAACGTACAGTACTGAATGTCACTTCTCCACACTACAGCCACTATGTTTGTTCCCAAGGTGAATGTTGTGTAGAAGTTAAACTATAAGAACTGAAACATGATCAACTCTTGAGTGAGCAGGAATTAAGAAAAGCATTCAGAGTCGAACTGTGCTAAAGATGCCAGTAAATTCTCACATGATTATGTGTCTCTTATTGTTTTGTTATTAAATTAATCATGTTGAAGGTAAAAACCTTGATCCTCATAGACCCAGGGTCTAGCCACAAAAGTACACAAATCATACCTGTAAGTGTTTCAAACTGGTTCAAAAGTAAGAAGGAGAGCCTACAGGCTTTACATTCTGCTCATTTTGGGAAAAATATTCTGATTTTGGTTGAATTTTACCTATTGGTATAAATTTTTTTGTCCCCATTAGCTTTCAAGAGGAGTCCAGGAGAAATGAAAGACAGAACAGGACTCCTGGCTGTGCTGAGGTAGAGAGCTTGTCTAGGGAGATAAAAGATTAATTTTGTTTCTTTTGAAATGCACATGGAAGCCAGATGCACAGACTTTTCTACTCATCTCAATGAATAAGTTACTTATAGGGCCAGTAACAAGGCAGAAAAGGATAAACTTCATCATTTGATATAACATGGTATTTCTTCTTGTAGTTCAACAAATGTAAAAAAGGCTGACATAAAAGTTTTGAACCATAAGTTTCCAACAATGGGGTAATACATACGTGTGTGGTGAGGATATATTTTATTATCACTATTTTTACTTTTTTAATAACAAAGATACAAAACAAGAATAGACATTTCACATTTCCAAGCATCTATACTATTCATAACTTAAGGTTTTCAGTAATTTAGCAAACTCTGAAACCGAGACGCACATGATTCTTCTTAATGGCAGACATGCATGCATGGGACAAAGCCTACCTTAAGAAAGTGATAATAATGGTGGTAATGCATAAATTCAAATAAAATTCTTTCAAGATTTCACAAGTAAGTTACATAAAAAGCAATATTTCTTACCTCTCATACTACTAGTTATTATAATAATACATTCTTGCTAAGAATCAAGAAAATCTTTCTTGAGACAACAGAACTGCTTGCCCACACTTCTTGGGAAAATATTGCAGATATTCATTACAACTAAAGCTTGCTGAACTATAAAACATACACTGAGAATGAAATCAAACCACTTATACTGACATACAGTAATCTTTTGTGCTTAGAGTCAAAATTACTGTTCAATAAACATTATTTTAAGGCTGAAGTAATATAATGTGTGGCAACAGAAGTGCACGCGAGCAGTTTTGTTGTTTTGTATTGTTGGCCACTTGTAAAATCAGTCAAACCCTTGCCAGTCACTATACTCTTCATCTTCTTTCTCGGGATGCTGAATGCATCTTATATTGTCCTTTAGCATAGGAGTTCCCTTGCGTAATCCAATGCATCGTGCATGAAGGACGATCACAAATTCCTCACCAGCTTCATTTTTCAAAACAAATTTGTCCCTAAGGAGGCCTTCCTTGTGTCCATCTAACTCTAGTGTGATTTCATGTCCTTTATTATCTCCTAAAATCGTAATAAACAAAAATTGCTTTAAATACAAAGACAAGTGGGGAAGAATGATTTTTTGAAATACATAGGCTGCTGGCAGTGTTCATTCTAAGCTCTGTTTTTGTGCAATTCATGCACTACAATTGGTGGTAATATTTCTGGGCAGTGATGTTACACCTTTGGCCATGTCTTCTTCATCCTTATTTCATCCGTGCTTTAATGGGGAGCTTGGTGACAGGGATGTCTGGCTGAATGTGTTGGCAGCATGCGCAGTGGGGTGTTCTAGCACCTTGGGGTGTTTTTTCAATAATAATTGCAACCCCTGTGCCCCTTGCGCATGTCCCCTCTTTTTGTGACTCAGGCATAAACAAAGAAAAGAAATTAAAGTACACTGAGTATAGCAGTTAATTTGTGTGTCATTAGCTTTCAAATGCCCACTGTGGAGACAGTATTTTTAGTTCTTGGGAATACATGCACTTAAGTTGCTGTCGGGTAGAAAGGTACTAAGCTGCTGTAAAGAGGTTACAACTAGAGTGAGACTATGGAAAGACCCCAGAACAAACAAGTGGCTATTTTGTTAGTTGGCCATAGTGGACAAGTGGCTGTTAGTGGAAATTAATTCGACTTCCGCTTTGGTCATTTTTGGTTGACATGGACCAATGCAAATTATCCTTCCTGGACCCATTTCAAATCAGCGAGGATAAGATCTTTGCACTGGTACCTCATTTAGCAAATTTTAAACAATCCTGATAGAGTTACAGACTTAGAGATTAGCAGAATTTGGGGAAAATATTCACAGCCAATTTGCTCCTCACCTACTACTCTTTGCAGATTAAATTTGTCCCTATCTTGGAAGGAAAGCCAGCCAAATTTTCCAAGCAAAAGAAGGATGATAAAGTGGACAACAAGGCACAAAAAAAGATCGCATGAAAGGCATGATAAATCACACGAAAAAAGATTGCAATAGATTCACAAAAAAGGTCCAAATTTTGGCTTATGGGCATGCAAAAATGCATTTTTTTCCCTCATAAATGGCTGACGGGAGATGGTTAATAAATTAACTCACCTAAATTTTTTATACTTCCGACAGCAATGAAAGGAGTGTTAATTGAGTGTGTTAATGATTTGGACTCAGGTGACACAGGGACAGTGAACTGTATTTCATACTTGTGCTTGTGTTGTAGAAAACCCAGGTGAACATTTACTGTTGTTTTACCATGAACCTTTTTTGTTTGCAACTGTATTTCTGTATTTGCGGTCATATCTTCTGGAAAATGAACATGGTGACCTGCAAAGCAACATAATAATAAATAACTGGTTAAGTACAGTTTGACTGCAGGCAAAGTTTATTTCATCAACCAAATCCCTGTGCTCAAGAAAGCACTCTTCTCCGCAACCAAAAAACTAGCAGATACCGTAAAATTCCAAAAATTAGCCCCTCCATGTATAAGCCCCTCCAAATATAAGCCCCCCAAACCGGTAACGCAAAAAACCCTCCGTTGCCCTCAAATACAAAGTGAAACAAAGCCAAAACGGTAAATTTACTTCCAACTATAAGGCCAGCCCAATCGATTTTGAAACGCAAATTTCCCTCCGAAGATAAGCCCCTCCAAAAATAAGCTCCTCGAAAAGGGCCTTTGATTTATTTTCAGAATTTTAGGGTAAGTCCTCCCTACTGTCTCTGACCCCTCACTTTCTTAACATAATCAGGATATCTTAAGGAAAGCCTCTTTTCATCTAATTTTTATTTTCTTTACAATATTGGAAGAGTTTCTCTATTCCTAATTTCCAGTGTAAAATTTCCCATCATTACCACAATCCTGATACATTTAATCGCCTAACACTGATCTCAAACATACGTTTTGATAAGGACTCAAATTCCTGGAATCATCTTCTGAGACTCAGTGACAGATGGTTGGAAAAGATCTACCAGTGGTGGTCACTGGTGTTACAGTGATATGGGCATCCCCACGTTTTGGGAAACCCCATTCCCAAAAACCTAGTGATATAGGCATCCTCTGTAACCCTAACCCCATATCACTAGGGTTTGGGGAATGGGGATGCCCATATCACTGTGACAGTGGCTTTTGTTAAGGGGAAATATAACGGTTTTTCACAAATTATTTTTGAAAGATTCAGGTCTATTCTCACTGTACCTTGAATTGTATGCTTGATGCATACGTGTTCGCTATCATGAACCCGCAGAATGGATTGGAACTGATAATGTGACCTCAGCGTTTTCGAAAAAGTTCCGTTTTCATCTGCACACGTACACGCGAAAACAGCGTTTTGAAAAAGTTCCACTCTGGAGAGCGTTTTCGAAAAGTTCCGTTTTCATTGATCGATTTCATCGGATACTTGTGGACGGAAGCCGTTTCCGTAAAGAAAAAATTGCGTTTTCGAATCAGAACGGATACTTGTGGACAGGGCCTAGTTAGCAGAATAGGTCTATTTATGAAAATGACACGACAAATTATTTATCAGACTGGATTAAGTCAAAACACTGTAATTCATCACAAAATCACTGGCTGAAAACTTATAGCTGATAATGATAATTGTCCATGTTTAAAAATACTGACACAAAATCATTTTAATTTTGATATTACCGACGACAGAATATAAAACTTGCGCTGTATTGCGGTACAAGCGCGCGAAGACTGCCTACTCACCAAGGCGGAATCACGCACTTTCAAAATTCCGCGTTTTAAAAACCGTTAAGAAAGTGCCAAGAAAAATGAAAATACTTTAGAACAAAAAAGACCAACAAAAAAGAACTTTTAACGCCAAAGGATGATAAACAAGTTTAAGGTGGTAATTATAAAAATAAGCTTATGCTTAAGTTTGTTGTACCCGCCAAATCATAAGCGAGCATCACGTAAACTCAAATCTGTCGGCCGATTTCAAAGACATTTTTAAACCTCTCAAAATCCTCACCATCTTCACTATCTTCCTCTTCGTGTATTGCTCCGTGATGATGTCCCTCTGCCATTTCTCGTTGGGAAAGAAAAAGAGCTAAAGTAGGCGTACGTAATTTAGTTTCCGCCAAAAAATGATGGTGAGAGAGATAAACGGGGCAACTGGGGTGAGTACCAAAAGTCCTCTCTGGGATAGGGTAAGTCGGATTTTATTTTACCTTCAAAATTCCCCTCTTTCAGCGCAACACATGCATTACTTATACTGAAGAAAAAAATGAAATTTATCTACTGTCACAAATTGTACTACTTCATTACTTGTTACTGAAATTGCCTTCAAACTTAAATAAATTATAAATCAACCTCTATCACCTCCCCTAAGCGAATATGTGTGATGCGTGGTTGCAAAGCTTGTCGATGCAAACTTGCTAAAGATATGATCTGGAAGTGTGCGGTTGTGTAATTTAGTGTCCTTGTCTGCTTTTTGGTGTCCTTAAACGTAAAATTTGCGTCGCATATTCGTTCAATTGAAGTGCAGGAACTCCTTTGCTCCTCTTGAGGAATTTAGCTTCCTGTTTTAACATGCAACACGACGAAGTAAGTTTGATTCAAACTACACGTGCTAGTTGCCAGCTGGTGTGTCTGTCTGTGCGTGGTTAAGCTTGATTAATCCAAAAAAAAAGTTTTCCAGTGCAACTAACACCATCTTTTTGACCCCAGGTAATATGGCAAGTAATAAATCAAGGTTTCTGTTCATTCAAAGTAAAGTAAGTAACATCACATCCTACTTTTTTTCTAGTTATCCAAGTTTAGACAACAACGGGCTGTGCACTGAGAAAAAAAGAGCAACTTCTATTTACTCATCCCTGGCTAAGCTAAGCATACCAGAGTTTTAGCAACTTTTGAAGTAAATTAACCATTTTACAGTTGTGAGCTTAGTATCCGAGGTTGACTTTGTTTTGATACAAACCTTTATCCTTTTCTTATGGAAATTATGCTTTAAAATTACCAGGTAGCATATAAAAGATACGTGATTTTTATATTTGAATGAATTCATGGTTTTGTTTCAGAACAGCCACTCAGACTTTTTGTCGTAATGAATACAATGTAACTGGTCTGTGCAGCAGACAGTCCTGTCCTCTTGCAAACAGCAGATATGCTACAGTTAGAGAAAAGGATGGTAAGACTTTTGAACTTCCTTCCTTCCTGTTAGAGTGGAACCTGATTAATATGGACACCAAGAGGACATGCCTGTATTAAGCAGGCTCTCAAAAAAAATGTCTTGGACACTTGTTTTATTTATATAAAGACAAAAGCAGACATTTTAATGAGCAAAATTTGTTTAATTTCTTAACTGTTTCCGTAACAAGTGCATCATTAAGAAACCCAACAATCTTTTATCATAGTATTGGACTAAAATATTTATTACCATTTGAGTCAAGTCAGTGTTCTAAAAGCATGACAATGTAATGGTAATCAGTTTTCTTACTCTTACTTTGTACTGATGGTTTAGTTGGCAACTTAGCCAGGTAGACTTAATACTGGACAGAACCTGTCAAAGGCTGTTTGCCATTTCTGGTAGGTTTTTACTTGTAAGATATTTAGTCCAGACAAATTGAAACTGTCCATTTTATGCAGGTTTCCATTTAAGTGGGTGTCTATAGAGCGGGTCCTACTCTATTATTACATGTACCTCAGGCTACCTCTGATTTGAAAATCCGTATTAATAAATACCCTCCGCCCCTTGGCCTATTGAAGGAAACTTCATTTTCATTAAATTAATGAAGACCATCTTTTCAGAGAATTTCAAAATGACATTTGGTAACTTTTAAATACCTTTCTCACAGTCAAGTGAGCATTCCAGAAATTAATGGTTATTAGGAAAAGTATGAGTCACAGTGACTTTCCAAAGTGTTCCTTGCTGCAGGGTGATCAAGAAATATCTTGAATTCATAATTCAAAAGATAAAAAGATGAAAAGAAAAACTTGCCTTGTTTTATTTCTGTTTTAGGTGTATGTTACCTGTACATGAAGACTATAGAAAGAGCACACTCACCAGCCAAGATGTGGGAAAAAATAAAACTCTCAAAAAACTATGAGAAAGCCCTAGAACAAATTGACAAGAACCTTATATACTGGCCAAACTTTATTATACATAAATGTAAACAAAGATATACAAAGATTGTTCAGGTGAGAAAGATAGTTTTTTTCTCTCTGTTGGAAAAATGATAATACCCATCCATCAATATACAAGCAGTGACAGTATTTACACTGTAATAAGACTGCTAGCCATACTTAGTCCAGTAATCAGGCAGGCAATGTATCCTATTCAGAAGCTTCAAAAGACTGAAGGGTGCAAACAACCTAAGAGATGACAAGGGTGTGGTAGGAGGGACTTCATTGGAATTTTCTGGTTCAAGTTACACGACTGTTTTGCATTTTTCTCTGGGCCTGGTTGTTCAAAGCTGGGTTAAGATAACCCAGGGTTAGTGTGAAATTTGAGTTCAGATATGAAAGCTTAAAAAGGAAATTCAGTTTTATTCTTTTTGTCAACAAGTTGATGATTGGATGCTCTAAAAAGAAGAGAGAAAATTATGTGGGAAAATGCTTTTGAGCAAAAGAGAAAGAAACCTGGGTTAAAATTTAACCCTGGATTAGCGCTAATAGGCCTTTGAACAACTGGGCCCTGGTCTTTTTTATGGAATTGCACTTTTTTGGGTATGGTTTGATCTCTCCCACCTGCACAAGGTAGCCGTCCAAAAGAGCTTGTATACAAGGCACAAAATACAATCACAATTCTTGGTTTGCGACCACGTGACAAGGTGGCAATGTTGGGCATCAAAACAGTAGAAGTTTTTCTCAAAGAAATTACATGAAAATAGAGTTTAGTTCCCAAAGGAGAGAAATGCTTTTGTTCTTGACCACCAACATGGCCGCGGTGATGTCACGAGCAAACCAACTATTCTTCCATTCAGAATTGGCTATGACTTTCAGAACTGATCACATCACAAGTGATGCAAGGTACTGGTTGGTTCAGTTTGGGTGGTTGAGGTGTGAATTATCATGTTTCTATATGTGTATGGGCAGAAGGTGAAAGTTAAAGGCATCCCTCAGCATTATGTTGCTGGTATCCATACATCTGGCCCCAGCTGTTCAAATGGTAAATAGTGCTATCCACTGGGCAAATCTCTGTTGGTAGGCATAAACGGTGGTTTGTCTGCCCTCAAAAGTTTACTTTTTGTTATTCTCATCTTTTTGCAGTACTTAATAAGGATGCGGAAACTTAGACTCAAAACAAGGTAGGCAAAAGAGGAAGTTTGTTCAGAATGTTAAGTTTTAGATTTGAACCTCTGCTTAAGTTGGTAACCCAACTTCCATCCAACTGGAAATACAGTGTATGGCATTGTAAATGATAGGAATTTTCTTTTAAACCACAGTAGAAGATGGCATGTATATTTTATTGACGTTAGTAACCATTTTAGTTGAACAAACCAGACACATTGTCACAGATACATCGTATATGTATTTTTTTAGGCATGCAAATCTTTAGCTACGAAAGGATAATCTTTGGAATTTTTGCTCTTTGTGGTCACTGTGTCCAACTCTAGGTAGGACTTCTGCGGAGATAGGCAAAATAATTTTAGTGTTACATTGTCAGATGACTCACTGTAATTTTCAGCTCTGAAACAGGTGCCCAGAAAGTGTACTCCCAAAGTAGTAGAGCACTAATAGCTTTGGTTCCTGCTTTGTTTCTGTAGTAAAAAACTTGTCACCATAAACAAGAAAGTGGAAAGAAGAGAAAAAACAAGAGAGGTAATCATCATAAAAATATTTTACTTAGCAGTAGTAATAAGAGGTAGAGGAAAGGTTGCCTGATTTATGAACACAACTTGCTTTTATGGACTAAAATGCATGCATGTGGCAAGGACATCATTCACTCCTGGAAAATCTTTGAAAGAGCGGGGATAATAAATAATTATTGGAGTTCACATGCTTATCTATTGAATAAATAAATTCACAGCAAAACTTCTCGATTCTTGGTGCATAATTGTTACCTCCCAACCAGTCATGCTGAATTAGGTGACACTTCCTGTGTAAATATTTGCTTCATCAAAAATTTATAAATCCAAGTAATCCATGCTTTTTTTGTTTTATTTCTCGTAACAGAAAAAGGCTTTGGTAGCTGCACAGCTTGAAAATGCCATTGAGAAAGAGTTACTTGAAAGACTCCAGAAAGGAACTGTAAGAATACCTTGTTTTAAATATACTAAACTAGGCCAAGTTGTTTGAAGCCTGGTTATCAGTAATAGAGTAATATTTTATTGAGCTGTCAACTTGGCCATTGTCCTTTGAAAGCTTCCCTGGAATGCCTGTACATCGCTTTCACATGATGTCACGACAGCCATTTTGGTGTACAAAACAATGAAACAGTGGCCATGATGGTGTACGAAAAAATTCCTGTTGGACTGAACTCTTTTCATGTGTAAACTTTTTTGTTTCAAGAAATTTGCACAGCTGCTGAACATATGAATGAAAGGGATCTATAAATTTACACTATGTTGACCCTAACTTAATCTCAGTTGGGGCGAAATTTTACATGAGTCTCCAAGCGTTAGGCTGTAGGTGGTTTCCTTCAATCTTAGGCCAGACCAGTCCAATTGTAACAGGAGTTCCACTATTAATCAGGACTATCCAGCCAGATCAGTTTACAGTGGAACTTCTCCTTTGGTACACTTCTATTCAAGAGACACCTCCAATCAGGGTAAAGGGACACTTTTTCTGGGTCCCAAAAACTGGGTTTTTATCTCCATTCAGCGACACCTTAGCATTCAAAAAGTGAAAAAGGGTTGATATCTTTAAGTGTACACTAATCACAATTCTGGAAGCTTTCACAAACTGAACTATCTCACTCATATAATGGTACTGCACTTGTGTGAATTCAACAAATAATGCTGCAGATTTCAATGTGTCTTTGCTGGTTAATTATTAACAAACCCCAAGCTCTATTCATGATCAGGAGACACTTCTCTTCAAGGGACACTTGCCTTGGTCTAATGGGTATATTAGAGGTTCCACTGTATTTGTAAAATGGTATATGTGGATGTGAGGGGTTTTAGTAAAAAATTTGAGAAAAGACTAATATTTCATTTTCAAAATAACTGGTCAAGCCGGTCAGTTCTGACTTTTGGAAAGCACTCTCAGACTGATCCAAATTTTATTTGTTTATTTGTTGATAGTATGGAGATATTTACAACATTCCTAGCAGTGCTTTTGAAAATGTTCTGGATAAAGAAGAAATTGAAGAGGAGGAGGAAGAGGAAGAAGAGGAGGTAAATGTATGATACAATATTTGAACTGAATTTCCCTGTTCCATAGATAATTAAACGGTTTCATTCAACCCATCACCTTTCTGTGAGTTTTTATAAAATTCTTGGTATGTATTTGAACATGTTTATTTTTCCTTTCTTGATAACAGGAAGAAGAGCCTGAATTTGTGGCTGAGGATGAAGTTGATGTGAGTGATCTCAGTGACATTGAGGTAAGGTGGAAGAGTGAAGCAAAGGGTGCTGTTTTCATAACTCTCACTGACTCCTAAGCTATGTATTCAGGACTGCCAGCTATCAGTCCTGCTCCTGACGGGGGGAGGAGGGGAGCATGACGGAAATATATGGGGAGCAGTTAGAAGAAAGTGTATGTAACTGTTAATGTTAGGTATAAAGGTTACTTTCTTGCGTGCATTACAGTCAAGGTGGCTCTTACAACCATAAATGCCTACAATTTTCTAGGACCTGCAAGCTGATGAACTTGAACAAGAATCAGAAAGTGAGGCAGAAGAAGAACAAGAACAGGAGAAACCCTTTCAGAGAAGAAAAGGAAGGAAAGCGAAAGTGGAAATAGAATACGAACAGGAAACAGAACCAAAAAGAGCCAAAATTAAGGTGTAACCAATCAAAAGTCATGCACATATGCGTACAGAAACTTGTGCTTTTGCCAAGTCCTGCAGAGCAGGGGACTTGGAGCAGGGCTACTGAGATCACCAAGTCAGGAAGAAGGGGATGTGAGGTGAAGGTGGAACACAGAAAAGGGATGCTTCAACTAGAGAAATGCTTTTACAATTAATTTTGTGTTAAGACTGGAAGAAAGAAAACAGAGACTTTTCTGAAGGAAATGGAAAGTGGGAACTGAGGATATTGTATGCGTTTCCTTGGAAGCTGTTACTTTTTCAATGTCTTCTTACCAGTTACTAACTTAATGAAGATATCTTGCTTGTAACTTTAAGGCTATCTTGACACTATACTGGATAGCTGTTGTAGGGCATCTGTTCACACAAAAGAATGGTGATTTCGGTCGGCATGGTTTCTGTAACACAACAAAACTGTGCCATGCCAATTGTAAGTGGAGCATCACATATCAGATAGGTGTCTGTGTCTCACTTTGGTGCGGTGTGAACAGGTATTTGGACCATAGCAGAAGTAGATAAGAAGGAGCAAGGACTAGAATCAACTGAGATGGAAGTAAATATTTAGGACTGAGGAGTGGATTTAAGTTCACCAAACCCTCTCAGCCAACCGCTCCAGCACAATGTTTGATGTGTGTGAACAATTGTTCCAGTCCTGGGCCATTGCTATTCAAACTTCACAGGATAGATTTTTGTGTTGGTGTGAAAAGATATGCGGTATAGCATAGACATAACCTAAGCCACTTGACATTACACAAGAGACCAGATCTGAACTGAGAAAAAGAATTTGTACAATTTAATAAAAATTGCCCAAGCACTGATCATAATTATTTAATCCATAGATTTAACTAATCTTAACATTACCATCAGCAGATTTGTGTATAGTTATTAAATAGTAGGCACACTTCAGTTTATTTTGCACTAATTTTATCACAACAATCAGGGTTTTTTTGTAGTCGTGGGTGTGTTAATTAAGGACCCTAATTTTTGATCCAGGACAGCCATTTTCTTCCCCAGAATGTTTGAGTTGTTGATTTACCAAATGAAAATCTTTGATTTCATGAAATAGGTCCTTGAAAGTATAAAACCTTGGAAAAACTGGCAGCAGAGAATATTAATCTTCTCTTAATATTGTCTTAAGTTATTTTGTAGGAAGTAGGATAACTTATCCAAACCAATGTCAAAAGTCCCGACCAGTTTATTTTGTTCATGAATTGCTCAGTGTTTGACAACAAGACAACAGTGTTAAAGTTTTGCAAGGTCTACACACTAAATTACACATTGCAAATAATATGGAGTTTTTTGGTGTTGCGGATGGCTGCAATCACCAAACGAAGTAATAAAAATGATCGAAAAGACACTTAACAATACCTGCACCACAGTTCAAAAGCAAACCAACAATAGCTTCCACAGGCCGCCTCCACAACACCAAGAAACACCTCAAATGTGACTACTTTGTACAGTTTGCAACCTTTGAGAGCAAAAACACTGATAGTCACAAAAGCATCAAAAATTTAAAAAGTCTTAACTGATATAAGAAAAGACCTTTTCGTGGTTTTTTCCGAATATTGACGTGGAGAAGTTAGTGAAAATCCATCTAATCTACTGGAGAGAGTGGCTTTAATTTATTAAAATTGTTTAGTTTGAAAGTGATTTGTTGAAATGTAACAAAGATACAGCTCCCAAAGTTGAGAGATTTGTACACAGGCAGCGAAAGCTCAGTATGAGTGTTTAATCATTAATACGTGTAGTAGCATACTGTGTAATCCTCAAAATGGCCATGATTATAAAGGATTTGCCTGGGAATTCAGGCAATAGATTCAAAAAGTTAAATACTGACAGAAATTTTCACTAATAATAAAATGCTTTACCTTGCGTACTAGATGTGTTCTTGCTTCCTGCGTAGCTATTTTCTTGATCCATTACAGTTTAAGTAATTTCCTTTATCCCGAGTTTCCAAAAGATATCGCTTAAATCACAATGGATGGGGAAAAAAACACACAGAAAGCAAGAATACATTAAGTAATTAAAGGTAAAGTGTTTTTTATTGAAATTTTCTGTGAGTATGTTGTTGAATCTATTGCCTGAATTTCCATACAAATCCTTGATATTAACGGCCATTTTAGGATTACACAATATTAATGGTTAACCCATATTTATGGTTAAACACTCATACTGAGCTTGGGCTGCCTGTGGTTTGTTTGGTGGAGGGAACAAAAAAAAACACTCATACTGAGCTTGGGCTGCCTGTGGTTTGTATAGTGGAGGGAACAACCTTGCCCTCCACTATACAAACATCTGTTTTCGCAACTTTGTGGAGCTATAACTTTACTTGCTCAAGACATATCGCTCTCAGACTTTGCGATATTACTAATTTTAAGGCGCTCTTTCCAGTGGTGTCAACGGATTTTCCCCAACTGGTCCTAGTCAAAAATTGATAAAACCAAGGAAGGGTCCATTTAAAAAGGGCATTCTTATTCCCAGAACTCCCTGAGAACTGATTAGAACAGTAGTGGTCATAAGCAAAACTGTCAGGCATTCTGCGAATAGAATATGATCATGCAAGAAATAACAGTGTGTTTGTTCATGGATAGTGAAAAGAGTGGCTTTCTACAATCCATGGTTTGTTCATGTGACTTGCAGCCATTTTGGTTTCCTTAGGAACTGTTTGCAAAAAAAGTTGAGTTTTGAGTGGACCACTTTGCTCCTTCAACATGGCCACCATTCCTTTGTTTACTCCTCCAATATGGCTGCCATGATGTCAAGTGAACAAACTCTACAATCGTCCTATGGAAAGATTATTACTCAATAATAACTATCCCCTCTTGGATTTTACAAAAATGAAAACTGTACATACAACATTCTTACCGTAGAATTGTATATTACGTATTTTACACACCTTTTGAATATTAATATTTGGGACTGCAACGTTTTGTAGAAACAAAATATTGCAAACTTGACAATAAGTTTAGATCAAGGCTGATCATACTTATCTCAGGAATCAAAGCAATTTATGACAGTAACCCCCTCCTTTTAACAGAGCTACTTATTACACTGTCAATTACCAACCATGACCAGAGCCTGTGGGTGAAATAGAGGATATTACATGGCCGTGTGGAGATACGAAATTTCTCTTTGAGTTTCAAGCAGCCATGTAATGTTTTAATAAAACACCAATGAAATACCTAACCTACCTTAAATTAATGTCTTTTTTTATGCTGTAAAAGGCTCAATGCATCATGTAGCCATAGCAATGGTGATCTTTCCACATGTACTAAAGATAACTTGACTGTTATTTTCACATGAAGATATGATGTTTTCGTGTGAAAGCTCACCTGTTATTTCATTGCTGTTTATAATAAATTGTGTTATGTGACCATTCAAACCTCTTAGACGGTACTTTTCTAATCATGGTAATAATATTATTACAACTTTGTTTCAGTACCTGCATTTTCTTAAATTGATTTCAATTGGCATCATGGAAAGTAAGAAAGAAAATGTGGAAAGTTATAGTAAACTCAACTGTAAGACAGACAATATATGTTTAGAAAATGTCCACTCCCTGCAGAGGAGAGTTAAGCCCTGCACAGTAAACAGTGTTACAACACATAATAATTCTGCTCTGATAGTAAAAAAAACTATAAATGAGACTTTTGAATCACTATTATTTAATAATTATTATTATTATCATCATTATTTTTAATTTTTTCCTCTACAACCAGCAATCAGAATATGAAGCAAAATGTAGGAGCAATACTATTACCATGTACAGTCTCTGTGATTTGTTAGTGGTCTTGGACCAAATAAGTGATTTTGCGTTTGAAATCACTGCTATGCAGTCAATACGAAGAAAAATGACAAACCTTGACAGGATTACATAATAAGTAGAATATTTGTACTACCAGTGACAAAACTCAGATTGAGACAACCACTTAAAAAATAACATTTGCAGTCTTTAATTACATGTCAGTTTTTACAGGTGAAGTTACCTCAAAACTTTGAAAGGATTGCCCTGAAAGGAGCATCATACCAGTTTTTGAATAATCATCAGTGATGAAATCAAGTGGAACAAAGCTGCTGAACAGGCAATATTGATTAACTTACAAGATTTAGAGGCCGTGGAACTCATAAGCAGTACTTTACAATTAAATTATTTAAATTAAGATTCTTTTCTCTGTATAACTGCTTACATAATTTGATTGTTTTGACTTTTGAAGTTTGACATTACATGAATAATGGTCACAATCATACAGTCAACTCTGTAAGATGGACACCTTTGGAACTGGCACAAGTGTCAATCTTAGAGATTTCTGTCTTAGGGCCTGGTTACAAGGAGAGAGGGTTACCCTTGAGCTAGGGTTACCCTAGTAAGAGGGTTACCCTATCACCCTGGTCAACTTTACCAACTTTACTGGTGTTTTTTGTCATGTGTGACATTCTTTGTAATGTGCAAGACTTGAAATAAAGCTTGAACGTCTCTGGGAAAACACATTAAATTCACAAAAAAATGGTAAAATATTATCACCCTATTCAAAAAATGTTTTTAATTTAGCTCAGAAATTGGATAATTCCATTCAAATTGTCAAGATAACTGATCGTGCATGATGGAGGAAAGTTGTCCTGGGTAGGCGAGTTACCCCTAGCAGAGTGTTTACTGGGCAGGTAGGGTAAACCTCTTGCTAGGGTAACCCTAGCACTCAGGTAGAGTTACCCTAGTGCCAGGGTAACACTTAGCTTGCCTTGTAAACACATCATGTAAAAAAGAAGAAATGTGCAAGTGCTAGGGAAACCCTAGCACTAGGGTTACCCTCCCTCCTTGTAAACAGTGCCTCATAGCCAGTCGAATAAAGGGAGTAAAAAAGGACAAGGACCAACTCTAGGTGTCTGTTTTACAGAGGTGTCTGTTAAGAGAGACGCAACTGTACTATTTACCTAATTCGCTATTTTTAGTAATAAACTCAAGTACAAACACTAAACCAAACATTTATCACATAGCAGTTACAGTGCTAAATTATACCAAAAACATGTCTGCTTTTGCATTTATTTTAATAATGACTTCTCCCTTGTCCACTATTAAGTTTACACCAAATTTACACTGATGTCATTTTGCCCATGTGACTGGAACAACCATATTGTCTGAATAGTACAATCTGCACCTCAACAAAGGTTAAAAGGAACTAAAAGTCAAGAATTTATTTCTAATAATTATCTTAATTACATTGATCAAAACCACCCGGCTCACCACTAAAATATTTTTAAAAAATGTTAAAGGTTTAGTGGCATCCTACGAGGACCTACCATCATTATTTTTCACTGTACACCAAATGAAAGAGATAGTGACTACACTTTACTACTTTGTTCAAGTAGATTTAGAAATAATATTTTGATAACTTTTTACTTTGTACAAAAAATTGTTTCTTGAAGTTACTGTCAAAGATCATCATCCTGCAAACGAAGAGCAGACAAAATAAACAGTAAGTGACTATCTCTGTCAAAAAAGGCAGTCTAAAATATAAGTTTGGCTAGAGCAAGTTCAGACATGCACCACTTGCTTTCATTGAGTAAACTGGCTTAATTACAAAGAAAGGCTGCTGCTAACAATAATCCCGGCAAAAGACCAGCAGTACATTTAAATTATTGATCCTACTGTACTCTGGGAAAACACTACATTGAAAGATTAGGGATTATTGAATCTAAGAGTTTCTTTATCCAGAATTATGGTCAATCAAATGCCCCATTTATCTTGACTAGGCTGATTTATGGCATAGGATGGCTGCAAGGCAGTATCCCCACAACAAAGAATTACATAAACTTGCACCAACAATCATCAAGTTTCCCTGATCTTCATATTTGATGGATTATACAATGTAGTATAAATGTAAATGTATAAGCCCCAAGTACAACATTCCAGTCAGCCTGCTAATTTCCGTAAACATGACTCTTAATCTGGAGCTCTAATATATTAATTATGATTTCTAATTTCTCTGGTTATGGTTACTACAGCTCTGTTTGGTTATGTGATGTAAATAGTTGTTCTTAACTCTGACTCATCCCGTGTCACCTTCATGGCAAGTGTGGTGGGAGTACATGGGGTAGGGGAGCAAGGGACACAAAGTACGCTACACACATGATGACTGGAGACAAATCAGGGTCTGTAAGTGACCTACTTGAAGACTAACAAGAATTCCTTTTCTTTTTTCTCCCCTGATTTATACTTTGCAATGTTTTAAAAATTAAAACATGATAAACTCACTGATCCTGAACAGCAAGCCATTCCCCTCTTTTTTGGAGGCTCGGGCGGAGTGTCCCCAACAAGATCAAGGGTTGGAGTACCATTTGGGCCGAATACGTTCAGTTCTGCAAAGCATTCCATCTCAATCATCTGCAAAAACGTAGCATAACAAATTTTGACATTTTTTTTTTCAAAATTTAGGCTAACAGTCTTTTTTATGAGACTAATGGAGGCTTTGAAATAGCTTCACAGTGGAGTCTTAAATGGAATATTACAGCTTGAACTCTGTTTAAGTCTGGCCGTTGTGTTTCATGTTGTTGACACTGCTCGTGTTCAAGAAGCGTTTTGTCAAAATTTTAATTTACATTGTATAGGAACTTGTTCAATATAGCCGCTCCCCTGTTTTCTTTAGTCTACCTTGCTCTGTAGAAAGCAAAGTGAAAAAGTGAGATAGAAAGAAAAAAAAAAAAGAAGAAATTTCAACTAGTTATACTTAGCTCAATGTGAGTTAACAATACTGTATTTCCCTTTAAATAGTTTAGGGATAGTTTGAGGTAAGAACAAAATTCACATTAATAAAGCGTTTCTCGATCAGTTGGATAATTTATTCAAACAGTGCTAACTTAGGGTATAAAATGATTTGAAAATATCAGTTTTTGGTTCACCCCAAAGGAGAGATACATGACAGAATACATCTGAATAATACTCCTGACAGCTCAACAAAGAGATAAAGAACTACCTCTGATTGCCAAGGGATTGAGACTGATCCACTAGCAAATCTCCTATAAAAATCATCATCGCTTTCATCCAAACGGACGCCCTTCACAGAAGAGAACTGTTCAATGTCTAATACATCTTTACAGTAGACGGCTCTAGGCTGGGGATAAAGCATTTCTTTAATTAAAACAAACATTATGTACCTTGTATAACATTATATTAGATGTAACAAATCAGGTAAGCATACAGTTTATTTTTATTAATGGAAGACTGCCCACGGTGCACTTTAATAGCGTAGTGAAATGGGATTTTTGTGACCAGTAGTGTTGAAAAACACCTTTTCACACTATCTGATGCAAATAAAAAATAAACTAAAAATAAATCCTTGATACAGACGAGTCACGTAGATCAAGTTGAATAAAGTTCAAGGTCCACTGTAACAGCTAACACTGGAAGTGGACTTTCTGCACTCTTCGGCCATGATTTTGAACAAATTCTTGGGCAAATCATCTTTATAAAAAGTAAACTAAGACACTTAACCATACAAATTTGGTAGCATCAAGGCACAATAAAAGAGAAGAGTGCTGACACTTCTGGTTGATCTGCATCACTCAACAATGTCACAGCTTAAACTCTCTATTGATCAAACAACACCTAAGAACTCACATCAGGTACAAATGGAGGTTTGAACATTCCTGCTTCCAACTGAGGCCAGTTAATGTTCCTAAAGAAAATATGTTTCTTAGCTTCCTCTCCACCCACATCATTGTATCCTAGTCTGTTAGACACTTCCTTTTGAAGGGCCTGAAAAAAAAATGCAACCTGTAGGTAAATAACTAGTCTGCAATCATCACTGAAATGTTAAAATCCTTTGGGGCCAGCCTGTTTCTCACACTTCCTGACAACCATTCAGACCTGTAAGAGTTATTACTACTATTATTAACGTTTTTCACTATGACCTTGTGCAAACTACAAAATTTACATTTCCTTGTCACTTTTCATTAATGGCTTTGCAAAATTTCATTATTTAATTATTTAATTATTTTTGCAATTTTCGTTTTTTCGCTGTTTCCTTTAGGACTTTTCTTGGCCTCACTTACATTTCCTCATCACTTTTAGTTAATGGCTATGCAAAATTTCATTATTTTCATTACTTTCACAATTTTCATAGCATTCTTGTCAAATTTTGTGACTTTTGTAAATTTCCTAACAGAGTTCTATCCTGGACATACTGTAGGCTAGAGTTGGCCAGACATGTTCCTAGATGACTGATTTGAAAAACTGTATGCTTGAAATCAGGTTCAGAAGTTAATAGGACTAAACATACCACAATGAAGATTAACTAGCAAACTTCAGTACTTTTTGGGGGTGCAGCTTATCCACATTAGTGCCACGTATACATGACTTTTTATCATAACTGATTTTCTGGATTTTCAACAATCACAATCCTTAACTACTCTGTCCTCAAAATACCAAAGAAATTCTATAGGACTTTAGAATACCCAGTTCCAGGACCCATGGACCTACTCTGTAACTTGGTAAGAGACGGTGAAAGGTTTGAACCCAGGAGTCATTTCAAAAGTAAATTTTTTTTGATCGTCTGGGTGAACGTAGTCCTGAATAGGACTGTTGTTGTTGACAGTGACTGACATTTCGACAACCTGTGTGGTAGTCATCTTCAGAGTTGAGTTGTGTCACGTCAGTTGATGGTATCACACTCTGGTTATTGACCTGATTGGTCAATTATGTCAGGATGTTATTGGTCGTCTGTCAGTTAAGCTGCGATGTTATTGGCTATGAAGACTCGTAATTGGTGCATTTGGATCCGTCTATTGTCAGAGTCATCTATTGTTAGTCAAATTATCAGTCAAATATTTATTGTCAGTTCTCTGGTTGTTTGGTAAGATACAGCAAGAGACCAGTACCCACCTGACCACATATTAACCTTGCCGCAGAACTGAATTTGTCTGTGTATGCTTCCTGATCCTCTTTGACCCTCCGTTCCACCTCATCTCTCTTTACCTTTTCTTTTCTTGCTCGAAATGGAGACTGCAGTACAGAACAATGGATCACAGTTAGAAGTTCACATACAGGGCTGTCACTAAAGGAACTCAACAATAGACAGAGTTGACCAGTCAGAACGGTCATTTTGAATGAAACATCTGTCTTTTGTTGAAATTTTTGTGAAAGCCTATCACTGCTGTACAAAAATAACATGCCATTTAGGTATTGACTGATCTGGCTTGACAGTCTTGATTTAGAATTCTCTTCACGCCTTAACTGGTCTGGCTAGCCAGTTCTGACAAATGGAAAGCACCAGGCTTAGACTTCAAGTTGCTGGATAAATACATGTACAACAAGCACGCAGGGAATCAAACAGCTACGGATTTCTTTTGTTTCTCTTAAAAAAAAAAAAAATTTAACTTACTTTTCCTTGAATCATCTCAAATATAAGACAGCCTAGACCCCACCAGTCCGGTGAAAATGTATAACGTTCGTTTTTGACAACTTCAGGGGCTAAAATATAAAGTGAGCAGAATCTATCAATGAATCATGCATCATTATTTTCATCACACCAGATCTACAATACTCGTCACAAATCGTTGAAACAGACACCGTTTCTCTCGAATTTTCTGGAAAAATCATGAGATTTCTACTTCACACTGTTTTCCCCCCTGAAATGTGCCTTCTCCCTCCCCAATGTTGAGCCACGCGTATTTTGAGGCACTGAGACCACTGTAATACCCACATCAACATTGGGGAAGGGGAAATAGACACAAGTGTTTCAAGATTTTTGAAGAGTATTGTAGCTGACAGGAAATTTACTCCACATACCCATATAGCCTATTGTTCCTACTCTCCCTCGTATTGTCTCGCCATTTTTTATTTGAACAGCTAAACCAAGATCTGAGATTCGAACATGACCATAGTCATCTAAAAGAAGATTTTCTGGTTTCATATCTCTGCAAGGAAATTGAATGAAAAATCATCAACATCATTTTTGTTAAATTAATTGGGATTATTCTTGCACTGCTAATTATTCTTGGCTATCAAAGAAACGTTCATTAGTGATCTACACTTTCCAGTTGCAAAAAAATGTGCGTATGCAATTAACTGTTATCATTGAGATATTCTTGCCTGTTTGTCCACCTGATAAGATCATGGTTCATACTTTTACGAGCTCTTCAAGTTCCATGACTTTTCTTGACTTTTTCCATGACCTTAGGTTTGCTGTCACTTTTGAAATTTTTCAAAACTTTCCTTGTTTTAGGACATTTCTTTGACATAAAACAGTTCAGCAGACACGAGCTCTGGTGTCCACCAAAATGCATGCCGTTAACCCTGTTTAATACTACTGTTCAATTACTCATCTCAGTCTTTCATTGACCTTGCTTTGTCATCTGCAGTAACTAAACTACCAAACAAAACTTTAATTTTCCATGAATTTCAAGGACCGACAACTCAATTCCATGACTTTCAAGGCCTGGAAAATGAAATTCTTAAATTTCATGTCTTTCCAGGTTTTTTGTGACCTGTACGAACCCCGTAAGAAAGCAGACTTGAGAGATTGGTTAAATAAAAGGGTATCATTTTTTGGCAATATGGTATACCTGTAAACTATTCTCTTGGAGTGTAAATGAATTAATCCTAACATGACTTCTGCTGCATAAAATACTGCTCTTTCTTCTTCAAAACCAGGATTACCCATGTTATGAATATGAAACTTAAGGTCTCCACCATTCATTAGTGTTAACACCATACAGAGTGCATCCTTGGTTTCATATGCATATGCTAAACTGACCTACAAAGAAAAAGACATTAAAATAAAAACTCCATTCCCTAAAAAGACCAAGATTTCATATCAGCTACTGAAAAGGGCAGACAATTTACCATATTTACTTGTGTATAACACGCACTTTTTTCGCCAAAAATGTTTTTCAAAATTCAACGTTCATATGATCCACAGAATCCTTTGTTTCATGAGCAGTTGCTTGGACTCTTATATGCCAATAATGCTAGCTGTATACAGTTATTTGGCTACACATGAGAGAGATGTTCTCTCTGTGACACAGGCAGCTCGGAAGAAAAATCCAAATACTCCCGACAAGAGTTGAGCCTATGACCTGGTTACTAGGACACTGAGCTAAAGGAGACTCATGGGAGCTAAGGCCACTAAACCAGGTTCATGTGACAAACATGAAAATAATGACAGACTGGATGGTGAATTTTTCTTCCGAGCTGCCTAAGTCACTGAATAAAATAGACTGTGAGTAGTCTCTCTTTTGCTCTAAGATTTGTGAGAGTGTATGCAAGATGATGCAAGTGTGCAAGGTGTGCGAAGTTTTTGGGCCCCAGTACAAGCCGGAAGAGAGACTGCCCTAGTCTCATACAGCGTTTCTGAAGCCTGGTGACAGATTGACAGCTCTTGTCTCTTTTCAATTGCACAGGCACCCACACAACTCATCACTCACAACTTTGCGGCTCCCTGTGTATAATAATGCACAATACTGCCAATAATGCACAATACTGCCAAAGATAATACAATAGTTCACTCAAGTTCTGAACAGTTTACAGCACCATTCAGTTTGGTTTTCAGCATTTACTAAGTCATTTGCATGGCTTGTCTCCCTAAATCAGGTGATAAAATTTATGTCATTATCTCTATAATAACAAATTAACGATCTGGCACATGGTCAACAGAAACCACAAGTGGCTCACTGTAGAGGTTTCTCCTGAGGGGTGTAAAACAAACCAACTAAGCCAGTGACAAGCCATGCAAACGACCTCATTAACGCCATGCAAAAGAGAAACCTTTGCTCGCAGGGTAAAAAAAACTGAAAATTGTCCTCTAAATCTCTATTAACCTGTACCTACCACAAATCTGCTGTCAATTTTTTCCAACAGCTGCTTCTCGTTTAATGCCATTGCTTCTCCTTTCCGTCTCTTTATCCGTTTCTTTTCCAGTTTTTTCATCGCATACATTTTACCACTAATTTTACTCTGACATGCACAGACCTTTAAAACAAGATGTTGAGTTAAAGATTGAGTGTTAAGTCACTGACAAAAATGATGACATGTAAAAAGTTGACAAAAACTGAAAAAAACAAACATTCTGGCTCCTGAGAACAACTTTGCACTAATTTAAATTGCAGTAATTTCCCAGGAAGACATGAATTCATAAACATTTTATGTGTTAGCATAGATACATAGATGGAAAAAGGTCACTGGAGCTGGATGCTTACATGCCTCCACTAAAGTTGTAAGGGTTAGATGGACACTTAAGGGAGCTTGCCCAGCTACAAATAAACATTGGGAATGTAATGTTTGTTTGTGTTTGGATATACTGTTGTTCTGACAACATTGTTATTCAGTCACAGGCATAAAATTAAAGTGGTTTTTTGAAGTGTAACTGGATGTGTCTGTGAAAAAAGGGGCGAGTGAGATTTCATTTTAGGTGTCCGCTTACAGGAACTGAAAAACAAAGCCAAAATCTACCTTGTACACCCTGAAAGTGTCCAAATCAGCTACGGCAATGTAAAAATACAGAGTTAGCATGGGAGTTGAAATGGGGTTTTGTGAAGGTAGTTGTACGTAAGTAGAACTAGCTGTCAGCCTATGAGAGTGCCCATTAAGGTGGCTCTGTTAGGCACTTTGCACTTGGACAAATTTTTCACCTTATCTTTTTTAGGTTTAATGCAAGTATTAAGAGAGCTTCCACTGTATAAAAGGAACCTTAGATTTCCAAAATGACTTTAATATTTGGGTAGAAGAATCAAATGATTTCAAAGAATGAGAGAAATTTAAAAAGCCTGAATAGCTGACTCAGACCTTAGGTTCATGCTCGATTCTTTTTCAAAAAATCTTTTAAAAACCTATTAAAACTGCATTTAAACAATCTTACCTCTCCAAATCCACCTTTTCCTAACACTCTATAGTGGCGGAACGTCTTTTTCGTTACTGGTTGTCTGATAAAGAATGAGACATCCTGATTAAAGTTTTTATTTCAGTTTACTATAGGTCAATGCTACACTACTGAATAAACAGGTTGAGTCTTGAGTTGCCTAAAACTAATGGCCTAACTCCTTACGCGTCACATAGACTGCAAAACAGTCCATAATTTTGCGTATTCAAGTACGCGCGAGCAGTCAAACAAAAGGTCTGGAATGAGGCTGAAAACAGAGAGAGAGACTGGGGAGAGACGCTAAAAATATGGACTGTCCATTTTGCATACGTTATATTCGTTCGAATTACCCGCTTCTCCCAGCCACGGGCAATTCCCATTGGCTAAATTTTGATGCAAGTTGTCACCAAGCTGTCAAGTAATGTTTTCAACATGTCATTCACGTTTTTCATACTGTGATGAATTGCTAAAGCTTTCGCTGTAAAATGACAGATGTTGATCGCCTGGATTTGCTCGCAAGAATTGGGATTTGTTTTAAAATCAGAGCAGAGGGAAGCTTTGGAGTTGCTACTCAGGGGAAAGGATGTTTTCTGTGTTCTACCAACAGGATTTGACAAAAGCCTTATTTATTGGATGTTTGTTCATGCAAAGAGTTCTTCAAGTTCCGTTCAACGGCCGACCGTCATTGTTATTTCACCTGGCTAAAAAAGCGGGATCGGTAGGAAACACACGACTTTTACCTCATGCAAACATGCCGCTTGTTCCAATGAATTGTTTTCTCTGTGGAGTAGATTATGCTTTGGAAGAAAATGTTTTGACTGAGCAAATGTGAATTTTGGCCGCTTATTAAATATATTTCATACTGAGAGGTCGTGACACGCATATTGATTTTCTCTGGTAGGCATGATTTGCCCTCTGACGCAAGAGCATTTTCTTTCGTGGCCCCTTTAGAAATGTAAAGCTCTTCATTGCGGCTGATTAAGGGTTTTAGGTTGTTTTATTTCTCCAAAGTGCCTCCTGGATTTGAATAATTTTAAGCGACTTTCTTTGTGTCCGTGAATGTGACTTTTTCCTGCAATGTTTTGTCACGCGCGCTGGGCCAAACTCGTTAGCGTTTTTGGCAGGATTTTAAATTCTCACAGATAGTAATATTTACAGAGCTAAATCACCAAGACGTGGTTTGGAATGAGGGGATTTACTCATTCTTTTCAGTTCCCTGGGGCAATTTCTAACCGTTGTTCCGCACGGAGAGCAAACTGCTCTTGTGGAGAAAGATTCTCCTTCCTCGAGGACAACGAAAAGTTCGTTTTTCAGTAGGTCGGCCCACTTTGGTAACGTTTCCCCTTTTCTGGTAGGCGCAACAAACGCATTTTCCGAGCTTATCCATCCATTCGTAAAATTGCCGAACTGTGTTTTGAAACAAGAGCCGCACATTCTACAATTTGTCCGAAAGCCTTGGCTCTTTCGGCTTTCTCCCTCTTTGTTGTCATACTGCCACTTTCACTCATTTTTGATCCTCCACTATATATACTACATTTCAATATATACACTTCATTTCACAGGGAAGCAACGCCAAAAACTGCTTTATAATTACTGGATTACAGCGTCAATAATAACACGCCAGTCTATCAAATTCACAAAGAGGGCGGAGTTGCGAACAGATTTTTGACAGCTCGACGACATTTTTGAACCCCCTGGTTGGAACGAACTCATTGTATGGAAAACGGACGGTCGGTTTTTTTTCTCTCGCCTCACACGCCCTACGGGCGCGTAAGACTCTTACGCCATGCTTTACCGATTTCTTTACTGATTTTGAGAAAAAAAACCACTGTTTTGCAGTCTACGCATCACAGTGCAACCCTGATACAACAAACCCTTATATAACCAACACCCCGGTATAAATGCATGAAGCAGGACCATGATTTATTCTACCCCCATTTTAATGAGCGTGTTTCTCAGTCCCTGGACACTTTGTTATAATCAGGGTTACATTGTCCTTGGGTTTCTTACTAAGGCTAAATTCACATGGTGCTGGACGAACTATCAACCAGTTGACAATTTGCGAGTTTAGTTGTTCTGTTTACACAGAACCACTATAACCAAGGTTCTAGTTTTCACTCCTGTCCACAATACGCGAAAATTATTATAAATGACATCCATGCTATTTGCTCAGGGCCTTTCACATAATTTGTTAACTGTCAGGGATTTCATGGGCATTTCTGGTGTTAGATTGAGTTACAGAAAACATAGAGCCAAGGTGATTTATTATCACATGCACCCTAATATGGAACCACTGCATAAAGACTGGCAAATGCCATAAAATTGCAGCTAACATCACAGCTTAAATTAATTTCAGCAAGAGTCAGACAAAAGCGAAAAAAAGAATAAGGTGTCACTTTAAACTTACGTCAATGTCACCATTGAGAGAAATGCTTTGCTTACTGGGTGACACTGCTTAAAAAGATATTTAGAATGTAATTATCATTTTCTTGTTCTATTTATGACTAACTTCATTAAATCATTAACACTCCATTATCACTTTTGCTAATTAATGCAAACAAAGGCAAATATGTACCTTTCAAGCCACTTCCACTGTAGATATCTAGCAAAGTACATTGTTTGTTGGTAGTCTTCAAATGGCCTCTCCCCCAAGAAATCATTGACCTCCCTACAACAGACAAGTAAATATGTATCACAACATGCAGAAATATACTACATAATCTGTTTTGAAAGAAAACTGTCTGCCATAATTGAATTGAATTTTCCCATAATGGAGGGAAAGGTTGTAAGAATGGAATCGGCAATAATGCTTTGAAATTTAAATCCAAGTCAAGATGCTATGCACAACTAATGGCATAATGGCTACACTTTGTGTGTGCCAAACTTTTGCATTTTAAACCGCCAAATTTGTGCACAGATGAAGCAGGATTTACATGCATTTTGCAGGGTGAGCATTTTGCAATGATGTGAGCAAAATAAATAGGATTTAAAAACAACCACCCTCATGGCATCCTTGTTTGAGAAAAATGTGTTGGCCACATATTCCTTGGCTAAACACTTAGAAAACTGCTAAAACTGCTGGATACATAAACAAGCTATGAAATTTAACTTCAACAAAGGAACATACACTGATTGTTTGAGTTCAGATAAATACAGTAAAAACCTGCATAGAGGAACCTAGTGGATTGAGAACCTCCTGGCAGAAATACCCCAAAATACAAGAACGTGATCAAGCAGGTTCTTATGTGGGTTACAGTTAAATTATGACAAACAATAATTTAAGCTAGCAGTGTAACTTTGATATTGCAAATTTAAGTATAACAAGACCATACAATACTGTTAGGATTATGATAATATGGTTCAATTTGAATAAATACTGTATATTTAAAGACCAAACCCAAGTTTATGTTTCTGGTAATCAACAATCAATAATATCATTTCCTTCATAACAACTAAATAATTATTTTTGCCAGACTTGAAAAAGAGGAGGTTCTTATACGCAGGTTTTTAGAGTAATAAGATCAAAGCAACATCTCAAGAAAACAATTTTAACATACCTGACAGCATCTTTGAAAAATTCCATTGAAAAATCATCATCGGCAGCAGTAGAAACTGTACTGATTGTCTTCTGTGCTGTATCATCCATAACTCCAGCCACTCTGTAGTTATTTTCAATTTCAGCATTATCATGCTGGACAAACAAAAAATAGGTATCAAAGGATGAGGTTTTCTATAGGTTAGAGTGTTAAGCTCCACACAACAAAATCCAAGGGTAAACTTTAAAAAAATGATCAGTGGAACTTGGAAGTTCTTATTTCATGCAGTAGGAACAGGTGCTGTTAAAATAGTTCCTTCTAACTGAATCTTTCTACCATGACAATACCACTGCAGTCAGTGGAGCTGTCATTAATGGCCACAACTGGAAACAGCTTATATCAGGTGAAATGATACATATATATTTATTATATAGACACCGGTGTTTTACTGGAAAATATACCACTCGTAAAATTCATAAAAACTACATCCGGGACCTGAGTGGTTTATTTTCCATAATCTCACACGTGAGTTTATCGATGACATAATTTCGGTAATTTCCCTCTATTATTATTTTTATCGGTGTCTTTTTGTCTATATAATAAAAAGAACATTACATGGCGGCTTGAAGATATGAATTTTATTTTCTTGTGGCAAAAACAATATTTTACTCACTCCCTGTGCTCGTTCGTAAAATATTGTTTTGCCACTCGAAAATAAAATTCATATCTTCGCGCCACCGTGTAATATCCTCTATGTATATACTTTATTATTTTTTATTTATTTATTTATTTTTAATACTTTTAGATTTCTTTACAGTTAGAAGACAATTTTGTACAATTAGATTTTTCTACAATTAGACTTTCATCTTACTTCAACTAGATTTTACTTTTTGTATATACCCCTATTTTAAATCCTTATATTTTCCTAGGGTAGGCACCCTGCATGGGTCTTAGTGTCCCGTTCGTGCCCATCCCTTTTGGGCTTTAATTCTTTATGTTTGTATATTTTCAATTTTTTTTTTCTACTTTATTTTTTCGATTTGATCTTGCCAAATAAAGTTTGACATAACGAAGGTGTTATACGTGATAGTACACGTGTACAGTACAAGTCTACCCTTAGCCAAAGAGCAGATTGCAAACACTACTATATACAGTCGAACGGTGTTAATATGGACACTGAGGGGGGCCATAGAAAGTGTGACCCGTATTAAGGGGGTTGAACTTGTAAAAACTGTAAGGGTTTTCTTTCCCCAGGGAACAAGCGAACTGTCCATAATAATGAGGTGTCTGTACTAGGTGGGTGTCCGTCTGTATCCGAAATATCACACTCCTGATGAAAATTCATAAGCTATGGCTACTTGAAAACTCAATCAACATTGTGGTTAATAAATACACTTGTAACAAGCTAGATTTGCTCTTAAACAGTTTGATCATGTCAGTAAGAGAACTGTGAGGCTGGGCTTGGAATTTATGATACTTTAGTTTAAGTGTTTTTTTTGCTAATTTTATTGTTTCAGTTTGTGTACATAAACAAGCCTTATGTTATTACTACTGTCACTTAGAATCAGACAAAAAAACTATTTTAACTCTTTAATATCCAAATACAAATTCTCCAAACTGATCTCCATACATTTCCTTACAGAATTAGTTGAGAGAATTTGTTCAAAGATCAAAACATTGTCCCTTAGGTAATCATTTTATTTGTTCTTATAACCTTTTCTTTTAATTATGTAGTGATATTGCTAGGAGAAAGTTGATGTTGGTCACTCTTGGGATTTGAAGGGTTAACCAGATAATTAGTAAATCAAGCAAATTGTAAGAGAAATAATCTATTGCTGCTACCAAACAAACACAAAAATTTATTTCGAAACATAACAATTTATACTATCTTGTTTATGTTCTTAATAATTACATTGATCAAAGATTCTAGCTTAAATGTAACAAGAACACTCTTAATATCAGCATTAAGTCTAGCTTGCTTGGAGATTAGATACGAAATGAAGAGGCGATTAAGTCTACATGAAACAGGATTTACTCACTAAAGGTTTTTCACTTTCTCCTTTATTGACAGTCGAGTATTCTCCAGGATATTTACTTTTTAGATTGTATTTGACGATTTTTTTTCTGAATTGATTTAGTTTGCATGTTAGCGATCACCAGAAATACTTATGCAATCACAGGCTATTCGCATGTATAATTAATTGCAAATTCAACATCACTTTTTTGTTCAAGATATAGAGAATTATAGCGGGAAGATCTCAACTTTCTTTAATATATTGAAACCTAATAATCAAACCTTCAAAGGATAACAATTTCATGGACTGAATCTGAGTTTGGCATATCTATCACTAAAATCATTTTCAAATACCACTATCACTTTGGTAGTTGTCTGAAAACATCAAATCTAGGATATCATCTTAATCTGTCCTTCATGACATTTTTTTGGTCACCATGAAGTGGCCTGATTCTCTTAGCTTTCGTTCGAGAAAACATGATATTCTAATTGAAAATAAGAAAGAAGGGTAGGTAACTTCGTAAAACAAAACAAACGACACAAATATTCGAATGATGGCTGTAAAGTCAAAAGATACATTGTGACAAATTGTGTTATTGTTCGGATGTGAATAATTTAACTTGTAACTATCGTGAAATAGTACTGCTTATGAGTTAAATCCAGTAACACTGTAAATCACAGATCACAATAAGTTCACTTTCTATTTCATTTCGCGATGTGAGGAGAAAGGAGTAGTAGAACCTACAAAACGTGACGTTCTGTCGGATTTATCTGTGCTTTCAGTATAATTGTCCAAACATTTATTTATTGATAGGGACAATCTGTAGTTCTTACAATAAACTATTTATCTAGAATGACTTACGGGCGTGTGATCTTAAAGCGAGCAGCTGCAAGAACCAAAAATCTGATCTTAGCGAGAACTGACATGCTGGCTGACCGAATTATATTACTCAGAACACCGTTACTGTATAGGACTCTGTATAATTGGCAGGATTTCATTGGAACAAAGAGAACTGTTATTTCCTAGTGAATGAATAAACAAGCCGTATTTAGGAAGTTAGTAAACTGGTGTACAACGCGATATGTCTTGGGAAAAAAGCGTTTCGAAATAGCTCGAGTTAAACACTTGATCAGGTTATTAATATTAGCTGGGAAACATATACATGCTAAAGCGATGACTATGTTACAACAAGCGATTGAAAATTTTTGACGCGTTTCACAAAGTCTGAGGATCTTGCTAACCAATATCGTATCATAAAGAAGCAAGGAAAAGTAGTATTTAAGGAAGCAAACACAAAAAAATTGAAATGAAATACAGCATAAGTACAGGCGTTAATCTACTGTGCGTGGCATTCCAAATCGCTTTGGGGTTATTACACTAATCATTAGCTCGGCCTTCCCTTTGTAGTAGAATCATTGTATCACAGACGGGTCTTGGAAATTTATACATTGGGACCAAGGTATACTCGACAACCGTGCCATCCTAGTAAGGTTTCAATTATGGAGAACGAGACCGTAATAAATTTCAGGTTGTGTCGGACAGGTAGAGAGATAAACCAATCGCAAGTGTAGCGGATGCCATCAAAACGTGAGAACAATTTTAATTTGACTAGTATTCGGATCTTTAAATTATATATGACGCTCTTCATTAACGTATGAAAAGTGTAAGTAAACCGGCAAAAAAACCTTCGAATTCCGTTCCTTTCGCTTTCGCTCTGCAGAGAAGAATTACTTCGACGATACGAAATGCAATAAATTATCGAGTGTGTATTCGAGTAAGATGTACACAAACAATTCCAGACTGGTTTTGGCAGACGATTTTGGCTCTATTAACGATTAGACTCAGCTGGATCGGGGGAAAAATTGTCCTACAAACAAAAACGGAAAATATCCTTCTTTACCCATATTCGCCGCTTACCGTTGCTTGTTGTGGAAGATGCTTGCGTACCAGCTCCTTTGCCAGTTCAGGCTTTTTGGACGCTTCAGCTTTGTCAAATGCGTCCTAAATCAAAGACAAGAAAGAAAAACAATGATTTCTTTATGGAAGCTTCCGCGGTATAATCGTTAGTGTCCGCAAATTACGGAAGAGTGTTCGCACATAGCATACAAGATAATCGCCAGGTGAGCTTTCTCGTTCCTTACCACTTCGTCGAGAAAGTCAATGGCTCGCTGAAGTCTCTCGCTGCCGGAGCAAAACTGTCGGAATAATTCCCTTCCGATGGGCTCTTGTACACAGGTCCTGTCATAAGTGAGCTGAACTGTGTGTTGAAAACATACAGAAAGTAAGTCCGACAAACTGGAAAGCGGTTCAAACAAATCCGATAGACTGTAGGCAAGGGGACAGCTAGCGAAAACACCAGGGAAAGTAAACTCCAAGGAAATGCAAGAGACAGCTTACTCTCGTTTTTCAAATGTGCAGATATTGTATGATGGGGAAACTTTAGCAATTCCCTCCATTTCTTGCTCCTGCCTTTAGTTTTACCTGAAAAATGGAAGAAAAAATGTCAAATATACGAAAAGTTAGGCTGCTTAGTGACACTCTGAGCTCGAAAATGCGAGAGCTCGCAAACGCACACACGAGAACAGGCGACAATCGACTCGGCGAACTTGAACGATCGCTGTTTATGAGACTCACTCTCCATGAACACCGACACGATACTCACTCTCTCGTGCTTTTAAATACACAGTGTTGGCTACAATATTTTCTAGTTCCATAACTTGGACCAAATCATTAGGAAATAAAGGTTTGTAAGGAAACCACCCACAGGAATATGGCTGTCATGGACCGAAACACAACCTAGGTCTCTGATTGGTCAAGCTGTTTCTTTAATCACGTATAGCCTTTCTGCAGGGCACCCTGGTTGAATTCGCCTCAGGAACACCCCTGATGGCTGATACGTGGAACGCTACTGGCTTACAATGAGATGAAGAAAGAGATCTGCAGCTCCCAAGGCGATTATTTAACGACAAATACGGTATGAGTGGAATCGTCAAGATCTTTTCAGGTTCACAAATTGTTTTCTTTAGGTTCTTTCGACTGTCGGACACCCCCTGGGGACAAAGGGGCACTTTTAATCGAGTACCACCCGTGTTTGAAAGGATGAAATATAAAGGAAGCAATCATATCACCAAGGTTAAATAAAATATAAAAATAATAATAATAAAAAAACAAGTGAAAATTCATTATTAATTACTTTGTCAACCACCGATTTTAAGAAAACTGAGTTTTTTACTATGTTTTTCTTTGGAATTTTCATAGTTGAGGGTATCCAAGAACGAAATTGCGCCTTTATCTTTCTAGTTTGTACAAGGAGAAACTACAACAATTCTTGAAATTCAATACGAAGGTATTTTACCTTAGTTTGATCATTTTGTTGAGGAATCAAGAGAAAAAATTTTCCTGCGGTGCAGTGGTTAAGATGGTAGCTATTTTGTATTTTTCCAGACATGATCCAATAAAATGAGTAGCTTATTAAACATTTTCTCCTGCATTAAGTAATTAAGAACATTCTGAAATACATTTAAATTTCCAGTACATATGGGCTAAAGATCTGATCGTAGGAATGGTAAAAGTTCCCTTCGTTTTATACATGGAGCTGCATGAGCCCAAACTTTAGAACAGTCTGCCAAGAAAAGATTGACCAAGCCATCATGAGTTCATATATCGCGCAATATTAATTAAAATTACTTTTAATTTCTAATCTCTATATAGTAAAAGCCGTAAATGCTGTACATATTAAATTGTATTTTTAAATTAATAATTTATATTTTCATCCGTTTAAAGCACATTTGATCCATTTTCATTAACGCTATATAAATCTTAATTGTTTATCAAAATGATAATGTATTCATCATGATCTAGCCGATTTTTTTGAAGACGAACATAACGAAATTTGCAGCCATTTGAGTGATCAAGGGCCAAGAGTTTTTTGCGCTCGATCAGAGCTTGAAAATCACACTAGCAAAGGAAAAGGAAGGGAGAAAAAGAAAGAGCGATCGAGGAGGAAAAAAGGAGGAGAAGAGAAAAAAGCAGTGGATGCAGTCTTAGTTCTTATAATGGCTACTTTGGAGATAGTTTTTGGTCGAAAAAAGAAAAAAAAACTGTATGACGGAAGAGATCTATTTGACGGTAACGCTTTCAAATATCCCGCTAGATATACAAAATGTACTGTGCCAGAATTGTAAGATAAATTCAAACCTGGATATTTAATTGCTATACATTCCACTTTTATTTTTCAAGGTAGACTTCTGAAAGTAGCTTTCTTAGAAGTGGAAAAATCATAAAACCTCAATATGGTGATAAATCAATAAGGTTTCACCTTGGACTGTGAGCAGTCAGAAGCAGGACCCGTCAAAAGTTTGCAGGGTGGCAAGCTGAACAGCGCGCGTGGCTATTTTCTCGTCTTGTGTGTTTCAGTAGCCTCACACGCGCGTGACAACCGACGAAGAACGTACGTCTGCGTGAGAGGCTTGTGTTTCACTACATGGCAGGTTATTCCAATTCCTTCTTAGTGACCTTCTAGTCCTGTTAGGGGCTGTTCCAAGCGCCCCTAGGTCAACGTTGTGATTTTGATTATGATTCTTTCTTGGATAAAGTCATTCATTCCCTGTGCGTGGCACAAAATCAAAACTTCCTCTCTTACAGGAAAATAGGATAAAACAGGAAAATACAGGAAAACGTTCCTCCCAAATTTCCCACGGCAAGTGTTGTTATTTTTGTATCATTTACCAGGTCCTTAGTCCTGTTATATATCCTTTAGATACTGTTGGTTTTCTAAATATTATTATTACTCCTCCCCTCCCCTCTACTGCATTCTCTTACTTGGCTTTTCGGTGAACAAGATTAAGACGCTTAAACCAGCGGAGACATGGCACGGAACAGTTCATGTTAAAACGAAAACAAATAAGAAAACGTCAGCATAAATAAAGAATTTATGTAGGTTCATGTTAATTAAGTTAAAGTATAAATTGTAAGGCACAAAAATAAATATTGACACAACAATAGCCTCGTCTAGGTTCTATATCCCCTAATTTGTCCAGCAATCACTAAATGGCATTGCTGGTATGTTAATCACCCCCATGTACATACGCAACAAGCCAACTAGCTAACAGGCCATTTCCGAGTTCCAAAGACTTTCACTTTCAAAACGAGGCTAATTGCAAAACCATTCTCGTGAAAATACGGTTTAAAATAACTTCAGTCCTTGTACTTTAACATGGTCGAATGTAATCAGGGAGGACATTTCTAAAGGAGCCTTCACAGTGCTTTGGTGAAATCACGACGAGCATGATCCAGTGTGCTTGCAGAGAACTTAGAACCCGTGTCAAGCTCTTACCTATCACCTTCTGAGTCCTGTCTCCGAATACTGCCCGAATCTGTTGTTTCGACGACAAAATGGTTGAAGAACATGACGTTTTCTGATGCCCAATACCTGGAATCAATAAAATTAGAAGCTTTTCTGCCTTATCCCACACCTTCTAGCTTGCTGAAAGAAAAAGGATGCAGTCAACTAAGAAAGAGGAAACGCTGACTGCCAAGATTGACGAAGCAGTTCGCCAGCTGAAGAAACAAAATAGACTGACAGCTAACGACAATCACAGAGAACGTCTTCACACCTGAATTACCGTAAATCCTCTATTAGGTATCCCCCCTCAAATTAGCCCCCCCCCCCCCTCTCTAGTAAGCCCTCCTTTTCAGGGGAAGAAAGTTAATAAGCCTCCCTCCCCTCCCCATTATTGTTATTCACTGATAAATAGTAGACTGTGTATTAATCAGTCACGACTCCTTTTAGGAGCCTATTGCGACTGTAAAACTTCGTGTGGACTGATCCAGGATGGTTTATTCACCAGCTGGATCCTCGGCTGCATGATCTCCAACTTCTTCCACTTTACATTCTAGTCCTTTTTTGGAGAACTGATACCGTCTTCTTTTTAAATAAGGCCCACCCCTCAAATACGCCCCCCCCTCCCCCCCGAAGGCTAAAAAGAGAGTTTCCGTTTATTATTTTACAGTAGTATATATTCTGAATATTCGTGGTTTTTCCTAATAAACCCGATGAAGAGTGGTATTGGCCAGTGGAAATATTGTATACCTCAGCCTTTTTCACTGTGTTTGATCAGTTTTTGCAGCAGTCTTTTTTACTTTAATTCTGTAGAGAGTTTACAGTGTACTCAGTTAATTTGAGTTCAGTAGATTGAGCTGACCTGCTTGTATAAATTATATGTCACATTACCTTAATAATTGTTAATTCACTTGCGTGAGGAAAAAAAACAGAAGAAAATGTATCTCTGCAATATTCTCTTGGTCCTGTCTTGGTGTGATTTAAAACCGTATTAGCAAGGTGACGTTTCTGAAAAAATTAGGAAGCAACTGGATGCCCCCGCTCGCTCGAGGCTCAAGGCAAATCAAGGCAGGAAATTTGAAAGAGGAGGATATTCATATTAATTATGAAAATCATAAAAAAAGTTGTGCGTTAACTTTCAGTCGAGTCAAATGCCATATTTAATCTTTGTGACATGCATTTGCATGAGAAGTGTTTCCTCTTTTTGGTCTCGACGCGAGCCAACATGTTGTGGAGAATGAGGGCACATGTGAAACTGAAAAAGACGTTAAAAATATTTAGGTTTCTTAATCTCTATAAAGTTTTTGTGAATATGTTTAAGTCTGGGTCAGGAAGTCATTTGTGTCGTTTAAGTGAACGTTTAGGAACTACGCCCGACGGAGTAAAAAAAAAGCAGGCTTTGATGTCTTCAACTGACCCTCCCTAGCGAAAGATAAACGATTATCTTTAAAAAAACTTTTTAAGACTACAAATGATTGAAAACAATCCTCTACTTACGTTACCCAGGTTATCTTTCTGTGTTCCTGTAATAAATCTCTTGCCGACCACTGTCCTTTATATTAACGGTAAAAACAGGCCTCGACCTTCCCAAGTCTTAGACGCTTATAAAGATGTGAATTATTTTTATAATTCTTTAAACTATTCTTAACTCCATAAAAAATTCCAGACTTTCAAAAATTTAGAAAAGTGAGTAAAACATGAGAAGGGTTACTTACATGTTCTTATGAACATAAACTTTCCGCGAAATATTTTTAATCATCGCAAAAATTATAGTCTTCCGTTATTTTTTCGCCGACAATCACTCAGCTTGAACATCCTTTGATAATGGCAGATAGGTGCCAATTTTGTCTTATTGTGCCTGCTAGCTATGCATTGTTTTTCATTGCTGGGGATATTTGTAGTGCAGTTTCAAAAAAATAACAAATTAGAGATCTTGAAACATCGAAATTGATTGGCGTATTTCAGTTTAAAGAGCAATCACGGTATTTGTTTTACAAGCGGTCAAATAATTTATGAAAACAAAAATTTTGGTACAAATTCTGACGGGTATGCGACCTTCTTTGTGGAAATCGATTACCGAAGAATTAATATCCAAGAAAAAAGATCAGGACCATCCGAAATTATGGGACATATTTCAGTTGTGGATTTCATATATATCATCCAATGTTTACGAAAATGTGACTGTAATCCCCCCTTAAGTGCTTATTTACACCCAAGATAATGAGTAGGAGGGTTATTAGTTGGCTATATATAAACCAATTGTGTTTCTATGAAAAGAAGCAACCCAGAAGAGCATCTTCGTTCCCAAGGCTTTTCCCAGTCTCAGGAAAAGCTATGGGAACAGGTTTGCGAGAAAAGGGAGGTAACAGAGAT